AAACGTTAATAAAGTAACAATAAGTATCTCTTAAATTTATAAAGTAACAAATGCATATCAAATATTACTCAAATTATTATTTCAGTCGTTCTTAATGTATCAAGCGTCTATATTCAAAGAAAAGCCAAAAACTATGGTTTTTATCATTAAATGAAGATATAGCCTAAAGATGCTTTGCGGGCTTTATGGCATAACCAGGTTTCATTCGCCCAGGCCACTGGGCAGCTGACCCCTCCCCCTCTGTCGACGGGCCTGGATAGGCCTATCAATGAGCGTAGCCTTTCGAACTTATACGTTAAAGTCGAAGGAATAATTAGCATTCGTTAAGTGGACTGGACTTTACATTATTTTTTACCAAATAACTTATCCAATGATCTAAACCGTTACAAGAGTAAATTTTGCTTTGCTTCTCCATAATATGTTATTTTTACTGTTACAAATTATGAGGAAAATCAGATTGCTCTCGTCGTGAAGTTAGGTTGGATTTGTTTTGAATTTCGCGCAACGCTACACGAAGGCCATCTACGCTAGTTGTCCCTAATTTAGCAGTGGTAGACTAAACTAAAAGGAAGACAGCTAGTCAACACCACCCACCGCCAACTGTTGGGCTACTCTTTTACCAACGTCTCGAAGTTTAATGTAGAGGAAATGTTTATGCTTATATATATTACGAAAAATTAAATTTTAGTGTGACATGGAAGTTCGGTTAATGATAAAGTCATGTAATAATGTTAAAGACTGCTGAATTATATTTTCCTCTGTTGTGATCACAATATCAAGCATAGTTGCAACGCTGTTACAACTACCACGTATGATTCATCATACAACAACTACCTGGTATGTGAGAAGTCAGGGACTACACATAACTCGCACTTGTAAAAATTTTCATAAATTGGGAGTATTTTCTGTGTAATAAATAGATAAAGGGGCGTATGATTATTTTTGTGTGTGAAAGTTTTTGAACAAACAGCTAATGATAATATAAAGGCAACGTTCATTACAAATGTTGAAAAGTATACCCTCGATCCCTTTTTTTTCTATTATTTTTAATTGTTTTTTTAGGGAATGTGATTTGTTATCAAGATGACATGACAATATTAAAATAGGACACATTTTATAACTAGCAAAGTTCAAATACGAATGTTTGTATCTGTGTGTACAGACACTTTTTTGTGTGTTTTCAGATTAATTCATATTTATTTTGGGTAGTTTATGAACTATACTTACACATTGAATAAATAGCATTAACTTTTATATACACATCATGAAAAGTGATGCGTTAGCTTACCAGATTTAATGCCCTGAATTAAAGGTGTCTTTATTATTAAAATATATTATGCTGATATTAAAACCAATGGTTGCCTCATATTTCTGTGTCCAAACTGTGTTCTTCCTTAAAAGGTAATAAACAACGCATGCAAGGTTGATTGGGTCAGCGTATTCGCGCTCTCACGTGACACTTCTTTTTAAGTTCCGGCCATCGCAGTAGTAGATTCTGCACGTTGACTCATCTCTTTTCAAGCGGCATGTTTATGCGATATGAAATATAATCCTTCATTTCAAAAGAACAAAATTAATATTTTTAGAGTATTAATAAGAACTACGGTGTAAAGTGATATAATCGCACATTTGTACATAGTTTTCGAAATTTTTTAAAGAAAAGTTACGTCTACACGATTAATCATAATATCAAGCGCAAAATGACGTAGAGGACCAATCAAAGATTGTTAGGTTTCCAGAAATATGAATGCGTAGTGATATACCTCATATTACTTAGAAGCTTACGTTGTCTGAGTACCACCCTTCCTTTCGAAACGTGAACGTTAGTGATATTCTCAGTGAAGTTATTTCAATTCAAACATGGTGAGTTTAATTTATATGAAGTGTATGAATTTGTGTTAAAATATTAATATATGAATAAACATTCTCACGTTTCACTGATGACCTAGTCTTAATTAATTATTCATAGAATTTTAGAACAATGCCTGTTGGCACCGGCATTATTTTGTTTCTTATACAGTGCTTACTAAGCCTAACTTTTTTTTACAAGTGAAGTATTAGTAATTATAACATTGGTATTGGTAATGTGTTCTATGCTAGTTAATACTTCAGATTTGGTATTCGAATTACTGTAGTTCTCCATTTGCCATATGTATCAGTTGAATATGTCATTATGTGTTACCAATTATATTACAAAAGTTAGTATTAATACTGTGTTGGTAATTTCAAATTTAAACTGTAAATGTAATATTATTGTTTATAAAATAATAATTTGTATTAATATTATACCACAAGTGAATACTATAAAACTTGGTGAAATTAATTAGTTGGCCTTTGTTAAGAAAGTGACGTTACTACTTCTCAGTGACACCAGATTTAAAAAAAAAAAAAATTGGCAAAGTTGCAGTTGTTACTATTTTCAGATGTAGTTTATTGGGAGTAAGTCTCCAGTGTATTTTATATTTTTGTTGGTATCTAAAATTAGTATACTTTCTAACCAGATTAGTTCTTGCCACTTGTTAGGGGGTTGATATTATTTCAATTCTCATTATATTTATAGCACAACCTAAAACATATGACTTAATAATGTGTTTAAATTTGAAACATTCACATTAGAATTTAAACACATTAAACCATGTTAAGATTTCTAGACTGTTCCCTTATTATGGACAAAAGTTAGAACAGGAAAGTTTTTTGCGTGAAATGAGTCATATTTGTATGTTCAGTGTAAATAGGCACTTTGTTGTGTGTGTGACTTGTTAAAATGGCAGTTGATGTAATTAGCTTGTTTGTATAAAATTACAACAACTTAATTATCCCCACCAAAGTGAGTAATAAATAAACACTAAATATAACATACATGTTGAAAGATCATTAAGACTGATGCAATATCATGATTGTAGTCTTCAAAACAAGGAGCTGAGCAGTATACTGATGCCACTCCATAGAAATAAAATATTCTGATTGTCTGTTAAATTATTTCCTTTACTGCTTTTGGAAATACAATGTAAATATTCTGAGTTTGAGGTTAGTATCACTGTCTTGCCAGGAAAAAGCAACAAATGAATTATTCTATTATGTTAAAAGTAAGATATTCAGTGTATTAAGCCACTGGTCCCACTAGTGTTATGTTTGCAACTAGCCCAAATGTATTTTTTTACGTGTGGGTTAAGGAGCTAAAGATATATGGTGCAATATAGGATGAGCTTTGATTTTACTGTGCCATGTTTCAAAAGTGATAACTTCACAGTGTGAAAAATATATTAAATTGTAATTGATAATTAGGCTCTAGAATTACCTGAAAATGTCAGTTTAGTTTCAGGTTTTGTTTAAAAACAGTCTTCCAATAACATGTTACTGTAAATATTTATCCACTACATATTCCATATTAAACAATTAACCATTAACATTGCTGGACTTTATAAAAAAAAAAAAATAACATTTGGATTTCTATTATACTTGTTATTTTTCCTTAAACCTCTAATGTGCCTTGAAATGACAAATGTATGACTTGACTGGCTTTAGTATCTTGACCTTCATACATCTGCTAATTTCAATATTGATTTATTTTCACCAAACTATAAGTAGTTACAACTGAAAATATTAACAGTGAGGGTATCAAACTGAAGCAATACATTCTACACTTTTGTGTGTGTTTAATTAACTATAATTATTACCAGGTTGATTTTTATTGTAAGTTTGTAGCTTACTCTGATCAAAAGTATACACCTAGCCTAATAAAGTAATTTTAGGAGTTAACTTTTTCTGGTACTCTGTTTTAGGCTGGCAACATAGTAAGGCATGTAGCTAACACACCACACACAGACAAGAGATTTTTGGTTCTTTATGGCTGTCTTGAAGAAAAGTAAAATCTTAAGCCCCTACTTTATTTTTTGGAATTTCCCTTGTTTTAAACATGTAAAGTGACATTAACTTGTTGTTCCATAAGTAACTTTATTAAAATATTATAATTATAATTTCATCACAAAAATTTATCCATAACTGAAATTTTAAACTTGCTGAATGTAACACTTAAATAAAAAATATATATTCTCAGTTAAAATGCTCTTATACAATATATTGTTGTTGTTAGTTTTTTTTTACCAAAAAAAAAGTAATTTAATGTGTTGTTGATAGGCCAAATAGATTGCATCATTATTTCAGTTACTTAATTGTGGCTTGAACTAGGGTATTTTTGTATAGTAACTTAATTGGCCATTTTTATTTTACTGTCACTGAATACCTTCTAAATGAATCCACAAGCATCATTAGATTTGGAAATCTTAACCATTACGATGACTGTTAAAGATGCAGTCTAGCTGGCTTTCATGGAAATTTCTTGCTCCATAATTTGAATTTATCCCAATTACACGAACTACTGGATCTGTGATGTAAATGTGCTCAGCTGCCTTCAATTTCATGATAATGTTCATGGCTTCAACAACAATGTGCTTGCCTTCCAAGTTTTAACTTGTGTACTTTGGGCCCATCACTGAATGTATTAGTTGGTTGACAGAATGAAAGCAATAATCCTGTTACAATAAAGCATTGAACCTTTAACTCCTGACAGTGTAATTGCTGCAAAGTGTCTTCAAAATGCAGTTTTTTCAAAATATGTACACGAATAAGTGTAAGATGTTCATGACTAAGGTTACACGTATGTCTGAAAACTAGATCTACTTACACATAATATTACTTACCTAATAAAAGTTATGGTTGTTGTGACTTACAGCAAATAAGTACTCTGGTGTTGAAATAGGGTAGAGATCATTCATTGTATTTGACATAGCTTGCAGCTGTGTCCAGACTTCTTGGCCTTCAAACACTGCAATCCATACACAGTTAAACATGCACAAACTGGATTAATCAGAAACTAATAGTAAACCTGTACACTGGAAATGCACAGATTATTGTTCTAAAAACACTGAAATATTCGTCCCAGCTACTGTGAATGGGTTAAACAATCTCAAAGGTGATAAATGTCAGGTAAGGCTGTGAAATACATTTCATGCTTTCAGCTGTTATGGCTAAAAACAATGCAACATAAAAAAAAAAAAATGCATCCTATAATAATTTTTAAATGAATATTTTGTGTATCTTATCTGTTAAGAGTTTAAGATGGTTTTCCTGGAGATGGCGTAAGTGAACACAGTTAACCAGATTAGCAATCATAACGTGAATAGGTCTAATTAGCTAGAAAATAGTTATATTAGTGATTAAGTTTAATAAAATTGTGAAATATTCACATTTAAGAAACAAGGTTAATGTGAAGTGAAACTGTAATTTTGAAACCAAATCCCCAATTTTTATATTTTTTGTTCTTATCAATTACTTTTGGTCATTTCAGAAAGTACAGACAGTCTGACTTATTCATATTATTATTTAGTTTTAAAATTACATTTGTGAAAAAAAGTTTAGTGTAAAAACATCCTGCCAGTTGTCGCGTGTTTGCAGATTTAATTTATTCTAACAATTGCATATCTGTGCAACTGTTAGCACAAGTATAAACTTTTTATGACCTATGCTAGCGAGGTTTGATATTAAGAATTCATCATATATCATTAATGCTCTAAAAAGAAAAGTTTGGCACTGTTATGTTGTCAATTTGTGTGGTAATATGAGAATACCAAGGCACTGGTTAAATACGTATATAAATTGAGTAACATTCAAAATGATGTACTTTTTTAAATCTGTACATGTATGATTCAGTAGTATTTCTTTCTTAATTTTTTCATTTATTATTACATTACACAACTTACTGAGATGTGTGTTGTAGCATTTGTTTTTAGCTCATGCTCACCTTCTGTTAAGAGTATATATTTATTGCTGAGTATTTTTAACCTGTAAAAGGGTTTCTCCAAATGATTTGTCATTATTCCTAGTTACTAAGATTTTATCCTTAAAGTGTTTTGATTATAAAATTTAAAGTTCTCTGTACCTTGTGTAAATTTGATGGTCATTGCTGTGTCTTGAGTATCATTTAAAATGCATGATTGTATTGCAGGATAAGGAATATTAGGCATAATTAATCAGAGGCATGTGCATATCAACTTCCTTGGATTGAATTTTTTAACAAATCTTATTAAGGTTTTATTGTGGTGGCTATAATTTACAAAGGTGTTATTGTAATTGTTTTACTGTTTCAACTATCACATAATGTTGTCTATATTTGTTAGTAGTCATTATTGAAATTAGTATGTTTTGAAATGTTCCAATATGATAAAATCTATTGAGTCTGAGGGGTGTAAAACTTGGTAGTTTAATATAAGTAAGTTATATTTGGATTTTATTTATAGAGAAACAGAATTAATTAAAAATTACTTGAATTTCAGTTTGTTTGTTTTTTCTCTTTTGTAGGCCTCTGGTGTAACAGTGTCAACAGAATCCAAGACTGCTTTTGATGAAGTAAAGAAGGCCAAGAAATTTAGGTACATTATTTACTACATCAAAGATGAAAAAACTATTGATGTCGAGGCAAAAGGTGAAAGAGATACAACTTATGAAAACTTCCTATCAACTCTTGATCAGTACAAGACAGAATGTCGCTATTGTGTATTCGATTTTCCTGTTAGTGTGGCTGTGGAAGGAAGTGAAAAAAAGCCTGATATGACAGTAGACAGATTAGTGCTAATGTCCTGGTTAGTTTTTTTTTATAATTATGTAAAAGGTGTATTACAGTATAGAACATGTGGTTAAAATTCATTGTATTTTGAAGTATACTATGAATCATAAATGTGTTCTTGTTCATACATGTTTAAATTAAGGACTAAGGATACATAAATTTATCATTGTATTCAACTGGTGAAATTGTGATTAAATTAGTAATGAAATATTTTCAATTTCTTTAGGCAAAAAAAGTATTAAGGAGTATGATAAACAGGTATTTATATACACACTCATAATTTAATATCTAACTTAGGAAAATAGAGTTGGTGCTCATAATTTCTCAGGACAAGTTTTCTTAATTTGGCAAAATAACAATTGGCAACACTACTGGCATCTTTAGTTCATGACAAAAATGGTGGCTTTTGATTAATGATAGTTTTGTACTAGTGTGATATTGAAAGGTTCATATAATACTATCTCTTTTGGCACACTGTTAAACAACTATGTAGCCATGTCACTACATTGTGTGGATGTGCACAGTCTACATATTCCCTTCACTGTTAAGATTAGATACAATTGACTCATGCAAGCTGTTTAAAAAAGAAAATTAGATACAAGATTTTATGAAAATCATGATGTATATGCAAGTATTTGAACTTAAACACTGTACAGATTGGTTAGGCTATCAAATAGAGATGCAGAAGGTTAAAATAAAAACTACAAAAACTAGTTTCAGAGAAAATGGCATGTGATTATACTCGTACATGTTAATGTTAGTTTTGTATTCCCCCTTGTTAGGTTGCTTGCTAGCATGCTAGGTTATTCTGTAGTTGAGTGAATCAAATGAAACTAATCTCCAATACCTTAGCACAGATACACATTTTTTTTTAGATTTATTATGGGAGGCACAAGATGATCATGAGTAAAAGTAATAAAACATTTACATATTGAGCACTTCTAGTAAGAACTGGAAGTGTAGTCACAATTATTTAAAACAATTACCAGTTCTTAAGATGCTGAACTCTTTAGTATATGTCATTATTTTTAACTTTCTTACTTAAGATTACATGTCAGTTTAATCCAAATTGGTATAGCTAAAGAAATGTAATATGTTCAAAATCAGTAAAAATTTGGAACTTCAAATATTTTGGGGAGATGAAATAGATCAATTGTTTAGATAGAATACTTCCTTGGCTGTTATTAAATTGTATCCAGATGAAAGTTGGATAGCAGGTCAAGCTTTCTAAACAAATGATTGTTTTCTGAGAATGATACATTTTAAACTTTTAGTTTGTCTTTAATTATGCTTTTAAGATTAACAAATCTTCTATTTTTTTACATTATTGACTTTTCTAAAGTTTTGTGTGTAATTAACAATATTTCAGATTTGTTTTTAAGTATTTCTATACCATTTAATGACCATGAGCTGTTCTTCTTTAAGGAAAAAAAAAGAAAGAAAATATAAGTATGGTTGACAGTTTAAACCAGCTCTAATTGATAATAGAAACTTTGGACTTTGAAGGTTAAAAATTTTCAAAACAAAAACAGAAGAACAAGGTAAAGAATCAGTCAGTAGCTTGGAGCTGCAACAAAAACAAAAGTTGCCATAGCTCTGTTTTTTAAAAAAAAGTTCTCTACTCTGCTAATTAAATTCAAGTTGTATTGCTCTGGTGTGACTGGAACAACTTGCTGAAATAGTGTAATTGAATAATGTTGTATATGTATGAATGTGTGTGTATGAACAATGAAAATTGTGGTGGGACAACCCTTATGTTATACATCATTTGATCAACAACATATTTCACAGATACAGACTGTATCAATGCTAGTAGAGGCTAAATCTGTCACTGTCACCCAAGTTTATAGTCATGGTCTGTTACGTTATCAGTGAAACTGTATCCAGTGAATAAAAAGTGATCCTAAAATATAATTTTAATTTCAGCCATCTTATGTGATAATTAAATAAATATCTCACCACTTTTATTGTTTTTTACACGAAGTTTATAAAAATTATTTATAATGATTTACATTAAAATCTGTGTCTGAAACTGGAAAGTCTTTATTTGGGTATTAAAGGAAAAAAAATATTTCCTTAGCTCAGTAGTAGGTTTTAATAGCTGGTTGTGCAGCTTTGCATTTAAATACTAACAAATAGCTGTCTACAATTCATTATTTATCTAGGTGCCCAGATTCATCTCCAGTGAAACAGAAGATGTTGTACTCCTCTAGTTTTGATGCTCTCAAGAAAGCACTTGTAGGAGTCTACAAGTATATACAAGCTTGCGACTTTGAGGAAGTAGCTGAAGAGGCAATAAATGAATCACTGAAGAAAGGTGGAAAGTAAAGTAAGATTCCTCAGTCTTCTGATTGTCACCTTTGTAACATTTAATTTTGCAAAATGTGGACAGGATTCTGTTTAACTCCAAAGTTGAGTGCAGAGTTCAAATCATGTGCTCCAAATACCATTTGATTCATATCAATTGTTTTTTGTTTTGTTTTTTCCAAAAACTTGTGTGATTACTAAGACTTGTAGATCTTTTGTGAATGTTTGTGCTGTAAAATATTTCTATGTTTACTTTTTCTTTAAATTGAAGTGTTGATCACAGGTACTGGATTAGAATTTATCAGCTTGTCATGTGGATATATTAGTAATTGAAAACTAGCAAAGCAAATGTAAAGTTCTAGATCATTGGATTTTTTTGTTGTTTCTAAACATGTATTTCTATTTTGTCAAAAGTAATTTAATATATGTATAATTTAGTTTCTTTATATTTTCACTGAAAACCTTTTCACATGCTAAATTTGATAAGTATGTTATATGGTAAGCTTTAAGTAATGCTTTTGCTTCAGAAATATCTTTCAACAAAAATCTTTTACCAGGAATAATCTTGACGGTTAAGACTAAATCGAATGGCACATGTAATTCACCAGGTAAATTATGCCAATAAATATTCAAAATATCAAATGTTTGTGATGCAGCTTATTTATTCAAAACTATTACATTTTAAACAGTGGGTATGGAAAAGAATGTTAAGATGGTTTTGTTAAGGCACAGCATGTGGGCAAATAGGAAAGTTTGACTTCAACCAACAAAGCTATTAACCCTTAAGTTTATGAGCATATATATATATATAAAAAAAAATCTTGACTCTGTGTTAACAATATTTTTTTTTCCTTTCACTGATACTGAAATATCAATAAAAATTTGCATTTTTTTTATACCTACTGTGAATGAGAATCAAGATAATCCAGTATAAGTTCTAACATCAAAAATCAATCTTAAAAAATAACTAGTGTTAGTTAAATCATTTTGCTTGTTTTACCTTCCACCACCAATCAAGATGATAATTCTATATATATTTGCAAAATATAGATTACACTACTGCTCTACTATATAAATCAGTTTATTCAAATTCTAAGTTATGCTATTGTCAAAATAGCACATTTACTAACTTCTTGAGTACATTTGTTTGTAACAAGTACTCGTGGATGCTGTAACACAATATTATATTACTAATTTGATAGTAAATTTAATATAACATGATTTGTAAGATATTATACAAAGTAGCCAGCAGAAAACGAAAATATAACATTTTCTTTGTACTTGTATGAAATTTTAAACTGATTTTTATTTTGTTAAGGTGTTGTGGAAGATTATTACTACTGTGAATACTATAATGGAATATGGCTCATTTGTAATTGGTACATAAGTTACTATACTTTTTTTTTAAATATCTAAGTTTGCATTTAATTTATAGTGTTCTTGGATTGTGCAAAGTTGGAATTTTTTATGCAGTATGTCTGCTTGATTATCTCTTTAATCTTAATTTTGTCAGTGTTTTGAAGTTAGTTTTCTAATGAACAGCACTACAGTATTCCATCGTGCAATCAGAAAAGTTTCAAAGTAAAGAATACGAGATATCTGCACACCTATTTTGGATATTTTACGTGTAGGTTGTAATTATTGCAAAAGGTTTTTTTTTGATACAACTAACTATCCAAAAGAAATTCATTATGAAACTCAAAAGATTATTATTATTAGTGGTTACCAGATTAGAAATTTAAACAAAAATGCAAAATATACTACTATAAATGACTAAGTCAAACCACTTAAAACAATGTTTTAAAATTTATAATACTTGCACATGGTTCTACTCTAGTTTATAGAAAACCACACCTACCATGGCAAACAATTTGTCAAACTTCTGCAGTGGATTATTTCAAATGTTCATTATCTCTCTTTTTTTTTTTGAGCTGTACAGCAATAAGCCACTTCTGGGTTTATAAATAAATGTACAATGCCTTCTCAACCTTTGGCACTTCTGTTTATTGCACTAAACAAAATAAGTTGGAGAATTATTTCTAGCTAGGTTTAAAAGAAAGTTGACAGTGGAGGATGGAAGTGCAAGATTATAAACTACATTCTTGTAACAGGAACTATGTTTTAGTGTAGCAGCTCTACACATAAGTAATAAGCACATTCTTATGTACAAGCTAGTTTAAGTATTCATAAAATATGTAGAGAAGTACTGGATGGTACAAACGTGATCAGCCGGCTCCTCCCATCAATTCATCTTCATACTGCTTGCGGAAACAGTCGCCAACAGGGAAAAAATCCCAGCATCTCTTCTGGTATAATTCCCAGACATATGTTTCCTATTACAATAAGAAGTTTTAAAATATCAAGACACAAATATTATTTTTACACATTTTCACTTTTGTGGCTTTTAAGTTAAAACTATGCAAAGTTTATTGTATCTTAACTGCTTTAATTCATTACAATAGATCAACCATACTTTTAATGAGAATAAAACTGGCCCAAATAATATCTTTTGTACAAAGCCTGTGACCTTGGAAAATTTTAATATGATTTCATTATTAGCTAACTTTGTTCTTCAAGGGCTAATTTCCAATAGAAATGTGAAATAACATGGGACAAGTATAAGGTGATGCATCATATTTGCATTTAATTTTTTTTTTCTTTTTGTTACTTTAACATAATATTTTAAGACAACATGGGACCTATTGGTCCATCTAGGCTGTTCCATCCTCAAAACTAAATTAAAATTATTAAATGAAATAATTTTTTAAACCCAGCCCTTTTCATTCATATTCTTTTCAAGCATTTTCTTAAACTCACTTAAATTTACTGCCTCTACAACATCTGAAGGCAACCATTCCAAAGACCAATACCCTGTTAGAAAAATAAAACTGTCTTAGCTGAAGATGACCCCTACCTTGCCAAAAGTTATATTTGTGTCCCCTAGTCCTACTATTCTCATTGTTAAATATAAAAAAGATGATACGTCAACACCATCAATTCCCTTTACAGTCTTAAACACCTCAATCAGATCCTCATGATCTCTCTTCCTTTTTCAAGAGAAAACAATTTGAGAGATTTCAGCCTCTCGTCATATTACAACCCCTCCATCTCCAGGCACCATTCTAGTAACCCATCTCTGAACCCTTTCCAACACCATCAATTCCTTTTACAATCTTAAACACCTCAATCAGATCCCCACGATCTCTCTTCCTTTTTCAAGAGAAAACAATTTGAGAGATTTCAGCCTCTCGTCGTATTACAACACCTCCATCTCCAGGCACCATTCTAGTAACCCATCTCTGAACCCTTTCCAACAATTCAATGTCCTTCCTAAGGTAAGGAGCCCAAGACTGAACACAATATTCCAAATGTAGCCTAACCAGTGACCTGTACAATGAAAGTATAAACTCTTTAGACTTGTATTCAATATTTCTATAGATACAACATAAATTCATATTTTCCCTACCACTAGCAACAGCACACTGCTTTGATGGCTTTAGAGACTGATCGACTATTACACCAAGATCCCTTTCCTTCATAATACTATTAAGGTTAATCCCATCCAAATTATACTTGTAATTCAAATTATGATAACCCACATGCATTATCTTGCATTCAGTATAATTAAAACCCATCTGCCATTTATTTGCCCAACTCACTAAATAAACTCAATCCTTTTGTAAATCAGCAGCAGCAGCATCTTTACAGCTAGCAACACCCCTTAATATTATCTGCAAATTTAAGTAATTTATTGAGTGTTCCTTCATCTATGTCATTGATGTAAATCAAAAAGAGCAAAGGTCCTAAGACTGAGTCCTGAGATACCCCACTTGTGATATGAATCCAGTTTGACTGAACTCAATTTGTAACAACCCTCTACTTCCATCCAGCCACTCTTCAATCTAATTTGATAACTTATTCCTCACACCTATTGTAATAATTTTTTTTACAAGCCTTTTATGTGGCACCTTGTGAAATGCTTTCTGAAAATCCAGATACACCAAATCTCACCCTTACCCTCATCTGCATAAACAGTAACCTTTTCAAAGAATGTTAAAAGATTTGTAAGGCAAGATTTTCCCTTTGTGAAACCATGTTGACTAGGGAATTTTATAAAATGATAAGGCTCCTGAAAATGATAATATTTCCCCCAAGGGTTTTGAAGGAGGTTAAAGATTGGATATGTGAGCCACTTGCTACTATTTTTTGTCAGTCCTTGAATAGTGGGCAGGTACCAGAGGATTGGAAGTTAGTTAATGTAACTCCTCTTTTCAAGGGAGTTGATAAAAATTGTCCCAGTAGTTATAGACCCATTAGTTGTACATCAGTTGTGGGAAAAGTTTTGGAGAGTCTGTTAAAAGATGCTTTGCAAAGTCATTTAACAAAGTTTAGAATTTTATTGGAAATTGTTTCTTAACCAGCTCAGAATTAATGCAGTTATTTAATTCGATCATGTTTCCATCTATCAACTATTCAATTAGAGGAATACTGCTTAAATCTTCATTTGTAAAAACTGAGGAAAAAGCAAAATTTAATAACCCAGCCATCTCATAATCATCAGATACTAGCCTTCCTTTATCGTTCCTCAAGGGTCCTACCCCCATCCTAACATTTTGTTTTCTCTTAATGTATTTAAAGAAATCCATACTGTTATTTTTTACATTTTCATCCAGCTTTTTCTCGTGCATTCTTTTTGATGTCCTAATTTCCTGTTTCACCAACTTTCTTGATCTTCTAAATCTCCTGTCATACCAGTCAATTTAAATTTCTTAAATTTATGATGCTTTTTTTTAGTTTTATCTCTTAAACTTTTTGTGAGCCAACCAAGTTGACTATTCAATAAAATTCTAAACTTTGTTAAATGACTTTGCAAAGCATCTTTTATCAGATTTTCCAAAACTTTTCCCACAACTGATATAAGACTAATAGACCAATAATTACTGAGACAAATTTTATCACCTCCCTTGAAAAAAAAGTTACATTAGCTAACTTCCAATCATCTGGTATCTGCCAAATATTCAAGGACTGACAAAAAATAGAAGCAAGTGGCTCACATAACCAATCTTTAACCTCCTTCAAAACCCTTGGGGAAATATTATCTGGCCCAGGAGCCTTATCATTTTCTCAAACAGCTCACAATTAATGTGGTCATCTTGTTTGATCTCATTTCCATTTATCAACTGATCAAGATGTGGAGTACTGCTTAAATCTTCATTAGTAAAAACCGAAGAAAAAGTGAAAGTTAATAACCCATCCATCTCATAATCAACTAACAAAGGGAGGGTTATGAACAGAGAGTGGCTCTTATATGTATAGGAGTGAATATAATAAAATTAATTTTTTATGTTTTAAAATAATTTATTGAAATTCAATAGGAGTGTTTATGTAGATTTGTGGAAACAGATTTTGTTTCATTGCTTGTCGGAAGGTGCTCATGATTCTCATAAAAAAATGGTCCCATTAGTAACTTAAGTTAAAATGCAATATAAAAGGTAGTCGTGTTATTAAGCAAATTATTGACAAATGATACTTCTGAATTGTTCTTTTGACAAGTAATAAAAAAAGCCACTTAAAATGTTTGCAACAACACATATAGTCAAATTGGAAAAACCTTAGACTGTAAAAATGTCATTATAATGGATAAGAAAAGAAAACTATTTAGACTATTAACTGATTCAGTATGAGGTGAAATATCAGGAAACTATCATCAGAAGCAAGCAATTCAACAACAAATTGTCAAGTGAATTATGAAAGATATAAATTTGTGAACAATATAAAGACAAAAAGGAAAAATTAACATTTTTGAAAAGGTTGACATTTCTAGTAGCTTTAGTTGTCTTCAGAAAAAATTTAGTTATGGAGCAACAACCCTTTTTGACAGGAAGAACACATACCTGGATATATATGCATTTAAAAAATTGTATAGTTCTTTTTAATTATTTTGTAATATGAAGAATTGAAACAAACCATTTTATTAATATGCTAAGAATGATGCCACACTGCACTTAATGTTATCTTAGACAAAGGAAGAATGATTGTAAAATTTTAACTAAATCTTTACTTGAAGATATACAAGAGCAATCTCAGTGTTGCTACTTTAAATTGACAAACTGCTTTTAGTACACTATGTTTTGGTTAATAAGAGATATACCAAAATTTACATACATAAGTAAAACATATAATCAATTAGAGGGGCATTCATTAGAGAACATACCTCTGCCATGCAGCATTGACCATATTCGGCCCTCAAAAAATGCAAAAATGTGTCCATACGTCCGTCATTATCAACAGACGTGGAACATTTTTAGCAGGAATATTGGGAATAATAATTCTATACATGTCCATTAAATTTAATCAAGATCTGATTATTTTTGACAGTGTTATAGAGCAAACATGGTGTGAAAACAGTGTGTTAACAGATAAGGATATTTTGGGTTTTTGTGGCCTTGATCCTCCAAAAACTAATCACTTCTAAATTGGGTCATAGTCCAAATGTATACCAACTTTCATCTAAATCTGTTCAGCTGTTTTTGAGAAATCCTGCTGAAAAACACACACACACAGAATGAGAATACAGAAAAATGTGAATATGCAAGGATTCTGTACAAAGAAATGTGTCCAAGTACATTTTCACAATACAACGGGAATTAAAGGACAAGGTTATTTTATGAAAGGATATTAAGCATGAATTTAAGGACTGAACCTATTGAACCTGTAGATTTATAAGTTAATGCTGCTATGCAATGTAAAATAAAACCACAATGTAATGTCTCAGTTGCTTGCATACTTGACAGTTGAACCACCTGTATCTCTGTTAGCTGGTGCACCGGAACTATCCAAGGGCTACAGTAGCTACCACAGTTTTGTTTTTCACTTTTTTTATTTACTACACACCAACATTTGCTATGACTGCAACCATCTCATACAAGTAAACCACAAGATCACCTCTATCTTCTGAACTCATAGAAACACTAACAGATTATCACTTTAAAATATTTTGAGAAGCATATTAGACACAACTAGGAATTATTTAACAAGTCATTCAATCACACACCAAACAGTAAGTTATCCATCCAGCATTAACACCATTTGACATATCATATAATTAGTAGTTGTTTTGGGATAATTTTGTCAGAAGGAAGTGTCTTGAGCTAAATTAAGCAGTACAGCAAAGAACTTTCTGAAGAAGTGGTGTGTCTAAGTTTCCTTAACTAGAAGAGAGAAAAATCATGCCCTTGTAGTATACAAGTACTACATACCCTTATCTCCCATAGTGTATATTTCTTATTTATAAAATTTTAAATGTCTCCCATTTCTATTTTGTAAAATTCTA